GTCATTTAATTTACCTTCTAATTGTTCCACCTTCAGCTACAGATCCAAAAAAGTTGTTTGCATTTGATTACATTTTAGTTCTGTTTGCATAATTTTTGACTCTATTGATCCTAACTTTTCCTGCATGCTTTGTATTTCGTATTTTAATTCTGTCAATCCCTTCTGAATATCTTCTTTTATAGTCTTCAAAAATGTATCTAGATAGTCTGTCAAGATTTCCTCAGTTAGGAAGTTACTTTCTTGAACTTCCTGAGGGGGATTGACTTTAGTAGGAGTTAGGGTTTCACGGATTTTCATATTCGCTTGGGATTTATTTTGAGAGGGGGAAAAATAGCCTGAAAGCCTTTTCTCTGGTATGCTGTCTTTTTTTCCTTTTTCTTCTTGTCATCTTGTGCTTTTTTTGATGCCATATTGAAATAATACATTTCCTTTTCTTTCTTTTTTCTTTTCTTTTTCCTTCCTTTTACTATCCTCCTCTCTCTTTTCCTTTTTTCCCTTTCCTTTCTTTTTTTATTCCCTTCTTTTTTTCCCTTTTTTTTTTCTATCCCCTCTTCCTTGCCTTTTCTTTTTTTCCCTCAACCTGCTTTTAGCTCTTCCGACCCTTAGTATCAATTATCCTCTAGGGATTAAAGAGTTTTGCAGGTCTATTTCAGCATATCAAAGTCTTTTCAACTTATAAACCTGCTAATATATTTCAACTGATAACTAGTGATGTCCTGAATGGTTCGCTGGCGAATAGTTCCTGGCGGAGATAGCATGTTCGCGTTCGCCGCCGCCGGCGAACATATGCGATGTTCGGTCCGCCCCCTATTAATTTACTAATACTAAGTAAAAATTACTTAGTATTAGTAAATTGTGCCCCTACTCGCAATACTGCGAGTAGGGGCATGTCTATTAAACAATGAGCAGCCTCTGGCTGCTCACTGTTTAAAAGAAAAAGGGGTCCCCCCCGGTGGGGGCCCTAAATACTAATGGGGGGACCTATTGGCCTCCCCCCGGCCCCCACCCCTGAGCGGTGGGTGGGGGCCCTAAAATGAACAATAAGGGGGGGACCTATTATCCCCCCCGGCCCCCACCCCTGAGTGGTGGGTGGGGGTCCTAAAATGAGGGGCCATATTGATAATGAGGGGGGGGACCTAATGCCCCCTCCCGGCCCCCACCCCTGCGTGGCGGGTGGGGGCCATATTGATAATGAGGGGGGGACCTACTGCCACCTCTGGCCCCCACCCCTGCGCGGCGGGTGGGGGCCATATTGATAATGAGAGGGGGGACCTTCTGTCCTCCCCCCCGGCCCCCACCCCTGGGCGGCGGGTGGGGTCCACAAAGATAATGAGGGGGGGACCTACTGTCCTCCCCCCCGGCCCCACCCCTGGGCGGCGGGTGGGGGCCACAAAGATAATGAGGGGGGGACCTACTGTCCTCCCCCCCCTTCCCCCACCCCTGGGCTGTGGGTGGGGGCCCTAAGTAAATTCCCCCCCAGGTGACTAGGGGTCCCCAAGCCCCTAGTCACCCCCCCAAATAAAAAGTCCCTACCTACCCCCCTCACCCTAAAAAATAGTGAGGGGGGAATAAAATAACTAACCTGTAAAATAAAAGTAAACTTACCATTCAACGTCTTCTTTTTTCTCAAATCTTCATTTTTCAGCCCAAAAAAAGGCCAAATAAAAAACCATCATAACCGTCGAATTGAAAATAAAATAAAAATCCAGAGCGCAAAAACAAAAACCAGACGAAAAAGAAAAAACCAGAGCGCAAAAAAATAATCCATCTTCACCCATGGAGGGCTCCGCGCAGACTGAGCTCTGCAGGGCGGGGGAAGGCTTATAAAGCCTTGCCACGCCCTGCAATTAGGCTAAGAACACTCTGATTGGTTGGTTTAAGTCAATCAGAGTGCTCTGTGTCATTTTACACAGCGTGGGAAAATTCCAAAGAACTTTCCCACGCTGTGTAAAATGACACTGTGATTGGATGGCCGGGGGGGGCAGTAGGTCCCCCCCTCATTATCAATATGGCCCCCACCTGCCGCGCAGGGGTGGGGGCCGGGGGGGGCAGTAGGTCCCCCTCCTCATTATCAATATGGCCCCGACCCGCTGCGCAGGGGTGGGGGTGGGGGGGACAATAGGTCCCCCTCTTATTTTTCATTTTAGGGCCCCCACCCACCGCTCAGTGGTGGGGGCCGGGGGTGACAATAGGTCCCCCCCTTATTTTTCATTTTAGGGCCCCCACCCACCACTCAGGGGTGGGGGCCGGGGGGGGGGCAATAGGTCCCCCCTTATTGTTATTAGGGCTGCGGGGGGGGGGACAATGTGCCCTTGTACAGAAGGGATAGAATTTCCGAGTGAACCAGATCGGAAGCCTCAATGTCCATACCTTATCGGCCATGGGGTGGGGGCTTGTATCGGAGGTTCAACTAAATTGATCCGGAATCCGGACAGGATCTGCATAACCCACGGATCTCCAGTGATGGCCTACCACTGGGTATGTTTGGCAAATAAGAAGTGACTCTTACCTGAGACATATTTGGCCCATGTGGACGAAGCACCTCAGCCTCCGCAGGACCCTTTTGGAAACAGCGGGCGGTACTGGTATCGAGATGAGGATGAGGAGAAAGACTTTGAGATGGCTGCACCACCAGCAGACTTTGTTGCCCGTGAAGGCAGCTCTGCTGGTGGTGCAGCCCCTCTGCTGACCAGCCCTGTAGGAAAAACAGTCCTCTGAACGGAAGACCCTTTTGAGAAACAGTTAAGCTTTGTTGAGGGATGTATTAATGGAAATGTGACAGTTCAATTCCTCCATAACGGTGTCACCAAAGAGTAGGCCTTTGGAGTTAAGACCCAATTCATTAGAGGCCAAGTCAGCCAGCTTGCCATCCAGCTTGTAAAGGGCTGCCTTGTGGTGTTCTGAGTTGAGGGACACATTGGCATTGCCCAGTAGACATATAGCACTTCGGGCCCACTCCTGGTGGAGATGAGCGTCAACTGGAGCTCCACGGTGCCAGGCATCATCCGCCATAAGATCTGTGTCAACAGACCACTGATATTGAGTAGTTTATCCTTGGCTGAGTGTAGACACAGGCCTTTGCGTGAATCCTTCCGGGATCTTGTCATGAAGGTGGCGAACATTGGGTCAAAATCAGTGGTAAGGGCCACTTTATCTGTTAGGGTTGGGCAGGGGCATTTGGCCCTCCTTATCCAAATTGCAGCAAAGCCAGTAACGTAGATATTCTGCAATGTGGTCTGGGGGAGCCCATTCTGCGGAACAAGGATGTTTGAGGAGATGTGGGTCAAAGAGCGGGCGACAAGAAGGGTCCAAGATCTTTCATAGGGTGTCAGCGGTTGCCAAGGTAGCCTTCAGCGCGTCAGTTGTAGGGGAGCCCAAAACTGTCTCCCTCATGTAGGGTGAGGGTCGGCCAAGAAACCCTCACCGGGTGATGCATTACCCGAGCTACTGCTAGCTTTCTACTCGCCCAGGATGTCCTAGCCAGTTGCCTCAGAGTACATGTCTTCATTTAGGCAACCACCGGAACCAGAGCCCTGTTTGGCTAGCTTGGCTGACATATTTCCCTTGCCAGTGATCGTGCCTTGACCTGTCCAAGGTCTTTTGTGCGCTGTGCCCATGTCCACAGAGCAGAGGGAGCCACCTAAGTCAGAGTTCCAAGCCGCAGAGGTGCCGGGCATGGGTCCCATAGAGGTAGGTGGAGCGTTGACATGGAAGGCAGCAAGGTCTTAATGTAGAGAGTACGTCAGTGCAGCACAGAGCCAGGCTTGGAGGCCTTTGGAAGCCTTGAAGTCAGATTTGTCAGCCATAACTAATGACAGTGAAACAGAGGTAAGATACGGTCAGTGTGGTACCTGTGTAAAGCCATCTGGGGGTCACTCAGCATGCAAGAGTGGGTCATCCAGCAAGCACAATCATGCAAAATAGGCCAGTAAAGGAGGTGGTCACCCTCAGAGTAAGTATAATAGGATCCAGGGCAGAGGGAGGAGATCGCCCTACCCAGAAAAATGCCACAGTAGTGTGACCCAGCAGGGGACAGTATAGCATGCCAGTGTACCAGTAGCATATAATATAAGGGGGGTCACTCCATGCATGAATAGGCCACAGGCCTTGCTCCACTGTGGAGTATATAACTCCTTAAGAACTTAACTGTGGGAGAAAAAACATCAAGTTGTGGGAGAAACAGGGGAAGAAGAGGATGACAACATATCCAGCAGCAGTAGGGGCAGTGAGGTGGGGAGGACCAGACTGCCCAAAGTGCAGGGAGCCCAGCAGCTCCAAAAATATGGCCGCCGCGGCTCAAAAAATGGTGGAACAGAGCTGGGGAGTGTGGGAGTGGGGCTGG